CTTCACGGTGCCTGAAAAATTCCGCTGCTCTGGAGTGGATATCAAATTCAAGCGAAATTTACAGGCTAACAAACCTAAATGATATTTTTTATTAAAATTATTATTATAAAAGTAAAAATATCACTAATAAAAATATCATTTAGACTCGTCAGGTTACTAATTTCACTTGAGTTTAATGTCCACGATCTAAATCAGCAGTATGGTAAGAACAATAAGAGCAAGATTATCATTATTATTGTTACTATTATTACTTAATAAAGATCTCGCATTTTCGACAAATTTCACACGGTAAAATCAATATAACGGAAGGACTTTTTTAAAAAAATCGTGATTACAAAAAAAAAAAAAACAGAACCAATTCATGATGCATACCGGGACTCATTTAACTGGCGAAAAAAAAGACATACCAAGAAAAAGTATAGATGGACGATGTACGAAAATTGTCCAACAAACCGATACGCCATCGGCCCGCACCTGTAACATTTTTTCGCATACTAATTACTATTACAACTCAACAATTCAAATTCGTACTCCGAACTGCGCGAATTACTAAATATTTGTTAAAAAAATCATTATTATTACCATTATTATTATTATCATCATTATTATTATTATCATCATTATTATTATTGTTGTTACTATTATTATCATTGTTATTATTATCGCTACTGTTATTATTATCGTTGTTATTATCATCATTATTGTTATTATTATTACCATTATTATCATTATTATTATCATCATTATTATCATTATTATCATCATTACTATTATTGTTCCAGGAATGTCAAGAGCCAACTATCGCCAACGTCTTCTCCAGCGGAACCCATGGTCGACCACCACCGCGACCCTGTCCATCTTCGCTACTAAGCCAACGGATTATTCAACATTTCCGGTGTCCCTGCTAATTTCCTGCCCTATCCGTACTTCTCGTGCAATCAATGAGAGTAAACGGTGATAATGATATTCTTGGTATGCTTCCAATATACGTAATGTACAGCTATGCCAGGCCCTTAATATCCTGAGCTGCACACCTCCAGTTAGTACCCATCGCCTATTCGACGACGAATGTATGCGCTATTTTTTCGGAGGTCATCCGAGTGGTCGTTTACTTTCTCGTAGATATCTGGCACAATCCTGCTCACAGTGCAATGGTGTAAAAAGGGGGTTTTTGACTTCCAAAAGAACCGACTTGAACTGGATAATCGAATAGGATAGGAAAATCCGACTTAAATATCCCATGTCGAATCGGCTAATGCACGTGTGAGGGATTAAGAGGAAGGATGAGAGGCTACAGGTGCGGCAGGGAGGGAATGGGGGACAGTTGAGGGAAGGGTGGGCAAGGGGGTGCAGCTAACAGAACGGACGAGAACTGGTCCTAGCGACAGCTGAGGGGCGAAGCGGAAGCGCTACAGCGCGAGAGGGTGGGCGGTCTATACAGGTAACGAGCATCGCCCTATACAGGTGAAGAGCAATATCTTATACTGGTAAATAACCCATCTGGAATGTGTAAATGCGACCCGCTACCAGGTACAGGTGAGGACATGTTACCTGTAATCTGATGTTTTCGTGTATGTAATATAAGCAGTGTGACATGTTCATCTCTCATGTGCTGAGAATGCACGAAAACATCAGATTACAGGTAACATGCCCCTCACCTGTACCTGGTAGCGGGTCGCATTTACACACTCTAGATTGGCTAGTTACCTGTATAAGATGTTGCTCGTTACCTGTATATGTAGGAATGTTTGTCTGTGCGTTTCATCCCTTAGCTGTAAACGCGGATAACTGAAGGAGTGGTTAGCGGTGGGAATCATCAGTACAGCCCTCTAACCACAATATGAACATGTAAATGTGCCAACGTGAACAAACAGAAAGAAGCGCAAAGAAAGAAGGAAAGGTATCTAACTCGTCTTTCAATAGTATTTTAACAAAAAACACGAAAAAAAAACGTGAGAAAAATGCATTCACAAGTACCAATATTGTAACACAATCAAAATTCTGAACAAAGGAAGCCCTGAGCCCATCCGTTTTCTAGAAAAACTGACTTAAAACCATATGAGTTCACAATGGGTGAAGGGGAGAGAACAACCTCGTCAAAACGCCACGAAAAAATCAGATTACAGATAACATGCCCTCACCTGTACCTGGTAGCGGGTCGCATTTACACATCTCCGATTGGTTAGTTACCTGGATAAGATGTTGCCCGTTACTTGAATAAGACGCTGCTCGTTACGCTTTCATGAAGTTTACTCTTTCGCATCCCTGCCTCTCCCCGTTCACCGCGCTATTTTCGATGGCGTCGCGATTTGACCCGGCAACAAGAAATGATGCAGCAGTGTATTATTCTTGTGATCGACGATGACGAGCGGTGCGAATGCGAGGAGACGTGGCATTGCTCGATTTTGGCGGCGATTGCGGGCGGACAGTGTTCTTGGGCATCGCTTCCAGTTCAGGGGCGAAAGGCGAGACATTATCTCGGGGCTGAATTGCCCTCCAACGCCATCGACTGGCTTTGCCTATCGACGAAATTCTACGCGCTTACCGGTACTTCTCGTAACTTCAATCGGCTTCTTTCACGCTCTCCTACAGCATCGGCCGTGAATATTCAATTCTCACGATAATTCCCACGATTCTTACGATTCTACGACAAAGATCAAATTATTCTTGGCAAGTGTTTGCTTTGCTCAAAAGTTCATCAAAATGAGTAACATGGCCGAGGTTGTTGCCTCCTACCTCTGATTTGAGTTCCGATGCTTCCGCAAAACTCCTACGCACTGAATTCATATCAGTCCTTATGGCTACTGCTGACTGTAATGTAATTTTGATTTTAGATGATGTGTTTTTATGTAAAAAGTAAGGGTATGAAAGTAAGGGAATAAAAACCAATGTGAATAAGTTAAATCGGGATAAAAACCTGAATAGGAATTTTTCAGTCCATCAAGTCGCATACATTCTTGTTCAGTGCTGCAACTGGACCTCGTCAGTGTGACGGATGCAGCAAAAATAACATGCATTGTTATGACTACTGGTGACTGTAAAAATATTCGGGGTTTTTTTCGAGGGGAAAAAGAGGAGAGGAGCCCCCCCCCCTCCTCCTCTTTCCCGAGAGGAAAAAGAGGAAAAGGGGATCCTTCCGAACACGCTGAGATTTCAAAATATCAGGAACAACGACTTTCGCCACCAGTTTTCCCGCACAGACGTTACTCGCTTTTCGTAAGTTTAACTTCACCTATTAGAAAACGCGGCCTACTATTCCCTCTTTTTCCCTCATAACAACTGCAAATCCCTCTCCCCTTGCCCCGATGAACCCAGCAACATCTACCCGTATGCGGTACCAGTAAGTCCTACTTATCCTAAAAACAAGCACGAGCAACCTTTGGCGACACGCGGGCCTGATTTACATACTTAAGCTCACCGACGACCTAATAAAAAAAAGGCAGTACGGGCCTCAAAGGCCCTGTGAGGGAGTGGAAGAGGGTAGTAACCAAGGCCAGGAACAACGGCCCATTAGCCCAGGTAGCAACGCACCAAGGATTGCCAGCGAAAACCGATCGCCGGCCGAATTGCCCTACATTTGTCCTGCAAGTTGGCGAGTTGCCAACTTGCATTTTTTGCTGCTTGAAGTGCGGCTTTCACAAATGCAACGCAGGCCAAACAGGTTCGTTTTTTATGCTTTTCTTATATGCATGCGCACGATTCTACTGGTCTGTTGCTGAGAACTGGTCAGTGATCACACCGGAGTGACGTCACTTCCGAAAGCTCTAGCGGTCAAGCACAGGAATTTACAAAATTTAAACGAACTTTAAGAAAATAAAGACTGACACAGGAATAACGACGATGCTGGAATCAACCAACAGCAGCAGTATTTTATCATTGTTGCTACTGCCATAGAAAACGAAATGTTAATATCGAATTGTTGCGATCCCCAGTCATATCATTTTCAAGTCACAGGAGTGACTCGAGTCAGGAGACGGAACATTTGCATATCACACATGGAATCTTTAGGGCAACTGAGACAACGAGAAGAGGGTGGCTGTTTTCACCGTGTACCCAGATTTGTCATTTATTAAAGGTTAAAAAGAGAATATAAGGAGAAAAAAACAAGAAGGATATTAAAATAGGTAAGGGGTATAAAAAAAAATATTTGTTATAGGTAAGAAATGTTTCGGTCCATTAAGTCGTATACATTTCTTACCGTTACCACAATTGGACCTGCCTGCAACAAATATACTTGGCTTGGACCAGACGAAGTTCGTGTAGAGCCGGGAAGTTAATGATTGCGTTCACCCTGACCGTAAGTAAAAATACGCCACAATCTTCAGCCCGAGATGGCAAGAAGGTCTACCTGTTGGCACAAATTTACAACATTATCAGCGTCTTAGAAGTGCCGAATCGGAAAAAAATGTTTTGAGTGCAAATTACACAGTTTTTGCTGAATGCTTTAGCTTATTTACACTGTCCCCTCTCCAAAAAAAAAAAAAAACACACCAAAAATCACTCCTTGCGACGAACCCTTAAAAATGCTGGCAAGAGACTCAGGCACCATTTTTTCACCCAAATCTCACTTTTATTTTAACGTCCTACGGGGAATTAAGAGAAAAGAGAGATTTTTCTCGTCGGCAATAGGTTATTTTAAATAATTACTTTCGTAGACATTTTTTTGTGGTAGAAAATCTACAAGGTTGCAGAATCCGTTAAATGAACTTGCGACCAATGCCAAAACAAAAAAATTAGACTTGAAATTCACGGGGGAAAGAACGAAAAGGATGACGAATGTCTGAGAAGTTCGTAACTTTACCCACTTGAGACAAACAGCGCAGGAGAATAACAAGTTGTTTTTTCGGAAAAAAAAGGAGCAAGATGGATAGCCTTCATCAAGTTACGAGACATTTCTGCCAAAAACACCGCATAAACACAGACCTTTGTGTAAATAATTACTGACAACTCCGCTTGTTTTTCTTTGGATTTCAATTTTTTAATGAGTTTTGCCCTTGAAATTTTAAGTTTTTTCTTTGAATTTTCTGGAATTTCAATTTTTTTTGATATATAAAATATCTCACAATTTTTTTCTCACTCATTAGTCTGTTATCGGCCGACAACTGTGCTTGTATCTCTTTGAATTTTAATTTTTTAAGAATTTTTGTCTTTGAATTTTAAGTTTTTTCCTCGAATTTCAGTTTTTTGATAAATCAAATATCTTACAATTTTTCCTCACCCATTGGCCTGTTATTGATTACGAGAGAGAGATTTCATTGGATGATTTCTAAAAGTACATAATTGGAAACCGGCTACCAGCCCAGTGTGTGTGTCTTCCCTCGCATTCCTTCTATGTGCTCATGGAGTGTCGTGTAGAAATGCTGTTGTTCCACTGACCCTATTTTAACGTTGTGCGCACTCGAAAGACGACTTCGATAAAGATCTTCGCTGGCATCAGCTTCGTTTTTACTGGCATTTCTGCCCAACACTTTCGTCTTTCCAACATTCACCTTTTCGTTTTACTCTATCCTTAATTTTCCTTTTTCCCCGCTGTACTGGTTCTTTTGAATTCCAAGCATTTTTGACTTTCATTTATGCTTCCTTCATCCGCTCATTTTCATTTTGCATGAATTTAATTTTTCTGCTCGAATTTTGATTTTCCTCAATTACTGTAGTTTAATGTTCGCAAAAGTTTAATTACTGTAGTTTAATATTTAATGTCCGAGAAATAATTTTTCAAGTGCTCGCATCGGTAGCCCAACATCAGAATTAAGACAAAAACCAACTTCGGTATTTGTGGTTTTTAGATTTTTTTCACCCGTAAGTTTTCATTTTGCATGAATTTTTTTTATTGGAACATAAAAGAATTTTTCTACTCGAATTTCGATTTTCTTTCACTGCCATAGTTCAAGCCGAGAAGTAGTAATTTCTCAAGTGTTCTCATCCGTAGCTCAACATCAGAATTAAGGCAAGAAACAACTCCGATATCTGTGGTTTTTAGATTTTTTTCACTCGTAAATTTTCATTTTTTGTATGAATTTTTTTCATTGAAACTTAGAGTTTTTCTGCTCGAATTTTTAATTTTCCTCAGTTACGTAGTTTAAGCCGAGAAATAATTTTTCAAGTGTTTCTCGTCCATAGCTCTGTATCGAAATTAAGACATATCGCGACCCTACCTGTTGAATTAGGCTAGTATGTACCCCGGTTGTAGGTGTATGTGTGTGTACGACGTCGCGTCCTATATACGTATTTATTACTACATAGTAAGTTAAAGAGATAATGCATACAAAGGTGGTGAGGCTCTGGGGAGCTTCAACTCCCCAGAAGAGAAGTGTTAGTTAAATATTAGTAGGTCGCAGTGGTGGATGGGTAGTGGCGATTCCGGCGATGGGGAGAAGTGCTTTTATACCTCAGGGGACAAAGATCGAAAGTTCAGTGAGGGTAGGGTGGTAAAAGTTTGAACCAGGGACAGGGTTATTGCGTCATAGTAACGCAGTTGTTCTTTAACCTACTTTTGACAAAAAACCATTAATCATTATTTGATATATTATACGACAGACAAAAAAACAGTTACGATACCCGTGGTATTCAGATTATACACTATAACTGATTTTAACGCCATAACTTGCATCCACAGCAAGCAAGGCACGTTTCTTTCCTTCCCCATTGAAAAGCAGTGCTAAAACTGTATGGGTTGAGAGAAAATGGGAAAACCCAAAATTTAGAGGATGCGGGACTCACTCGGAACAAAAAAGGAGAGATGAAATTGAGATAAAAGGAAGAAAATGCGCATTTTGCCTGGGGCAAAAAAAATCATTGAGGAGATAAAATTTAACTTGAACGCAAAATTGGGCTCAGTAAATTCCAGAACTGTAAAGAATCAAGAAATTGGTCAAGAAATTCTGCTAAATTCTGTGCTCTAACAACACAAAATATTGCGCTTAACCACATAATGCGCGAGAAGAAACGGAGAAGACTACCACCCCTTGTTCGGTAGCTGTGATTTTCTGTCTGTAAAAATTGTAAGATATCACATAATATATAAAATAATGGTTTATGGTTCTTTGTTAGAAATGACGTAAGGGAAGCTGCGTTACTATGATGCCGTACTCCAGTCCCTGGTTCAACCTTTGGACATCCTACCTCTTTAAAGTTTTGCAGTCTTAGTAATCTTTAATTCCTGGAATATAAAAGTGCTGCTCCCCATCCCCGAGATTCCAGAACTATTCCAGAGCTATTTCCAGAGCTACTTGAGAAAACTAATTCTTTCGACTTATCCCTATTCTGGAGAGCTTCGGCTCTTCAGAACCTCACCACCCTTTTCGTACTGTCTTATCTTACATTACGTTGTATTACTTTAGTTAATGCATGTAATTATAAATATATACAACTATGCGTTTTCCACAGACACACAGGAAATGTCACTGTTCTAGCAATTAATCTTTAGGGTTGCAATAAAGGAAAGAATGCATTAAGTGCTGTAGAAATTTCAAAGATATAAACAATGAATCGACCCCTGGCTAGGAGATTGGAAGAGGAGGGAGCCTGAAATCGTCTGTGCGTCAACACAACCACCGTGGAAAGAAACACAGTCTTATTAGTAATTAATAAAAACACCCAGAAGTGCCATTTAGATCTCTCAAATAAGCAATCCTGTATGTACAGCGAGCTTGGTGGCCTGTCTGTGTTTCATCCCTAAGCATTAAATTTGATCGTAACACTAGTGGATTTTGTCGACCACAGTGAACAGAAGGAGGTCACTTTGAACTGCTTTTATAGTCTTTTCCGGAACGCTGATGTTATAACCTATAATTACCCATTTCCCTCCTCCCACTAATTCCTAACATTTCGACCTACTTCCCCCGTCTTACTAACTTCTAACAATTCCACCAAATTCTAATTGTTTCTATACTATCTACTTTCCTACTCATTAACTAACTTGCCCCCCTTTTCCCTCCACTAATTTTCCCTATATAAACCCCTTCCTAGAGCCAGACCAGCAGTTGGTCAGTTAGTTAATTAGTCAGTTTGGAAATCGTCAGCTTCAACGCCGTCACGCCAAACGCTACCAGCCTCAGCTTCAACACTCTCGCCTCCCCGTCTGCCGTTGTTATTCTGTTGCACAGCCTGTGCGGTGTCCCGCCTCATCGTCTACGCGTCATCTTCGGCGTTTCCTTTGGAGTGAAGTGTTTATGAGAAGAATAAACTGCTGGTGTTTCTTCTCTGTCTACCGCTGCTGCAGTCAAGGACCACGTAACGGGCCTAACAATGTTCTTTCATTTGTAGCACTTGGCGTGATACTTGAATTTCTGAGTCGCCCCAGTCAATGCGGTTTAAACGAATATTGTATGTCCAATTTTCCCATATTTTTTGATTTTTTCCAGGCTCAATCTATTCTCTTGGCTTCTCAATGGTACATTATTTTCGCCAACCAAATCAACAGTAATGGATGCAAACCGAAATACTAGTGTGTTTCTTCAAATTCCTCACTGATTTCTTGTTCATTTATTCCAGTGGCCGTGACTCAGTAGCAATTAGCATATCTCTCATGCAGAAAGGATGTTGAGAGTTTGGTCCCAGGCAAACGAATTTATCTACGATTTGTTGAATCATTTCGATGATAAACTGGCCGCTAACACATGCTTAATTACCCAAGCCATTATGAACTTTCTTATATAAGCAACCCTTGAAAGAGGGAAACTTTGTCGACAGTAATCGCTGTTGGCATTTACTGCCATTCGGGCTACTTCTGAATACCTTCGCTTATCGTAAAAAGTGAATAAGGAAGGGGATACTTTATTATTGTTCACGTATTTTTCGGTGCTTGAATTACTTTGCCCTCTTCCATTCTCTCACAGGGTCTTTGTGGCCAATACTGCCTTTTACCTTATTTTATATAATTTGAATTATTGTTGTTGTTTTGGAAATGTAAAAATTAGCAAAATGTTCGTCAACTTTATCGCAAAATCATGAATTTATAGCTTACAGTTTAGATGAGGATTTATAGTAGTTTAAAATTTAAATTAAAATTGGAATTTCACATTCGTCCTGCATAAATCGATTGATTGTTTTGGAGTTGGATAACCCCCTTACGTGCCGTTTTAAGCAAATTAGTTCAGAAATCGTTTGCATGGGAATGTAAAAATTGCTTTCAATCACGAAATAAATCACAAAAAAAAAGACAAATTCAGCAAATAAGAAAATTGGAAGAAAAGTAAAAAAAGGTGAATTTATTTCGCACAGTGGAGCCATTAATCGTTCCTTATTTTTCAATACTTGGCTTTTTTTAGAGGTTTTCAGCTAATGGCACTGTTTTTTCAATTTCCTAACCCTTGTTATTTAAGGGTAGCATGAGATACACTAAAATTTTTTACTGGGTAAAAAGAAAGGTTCAATTAAGCGATTCTGCTCAGTTAGATTAGCTGTAACTGTTTGAGCATGGAAGAAGTGAGGCAGTGAATTTTTAGATATAAAACTTTTGAAGTAAAATTGAAGGGGAAGGGATTTGATGTCTCTCAGCAAGTAGGCTACCAAATTTGCATTAAAGATTGAAAAGAATATATCAAAAAAAGAAAACAAAGAAAGGGAGGGAAAGGATAATAAAATGGGAAAGGTGTCTACAAAAATATTAGTAACGGTAAGAAATGTATACGACTTAATGGACCGAAACATTTCTTACCCATAACAAATATTTCTTTGGACCCCTTACCTATTTTAATATCCTTTTCCTCCTTTTCACTGTTTCCTTCTGGTATTTTCTTTTCAACCTTTAATTAGTAATAGGTAAGAAATGTTTCGGTCCATTAAGTCGTATACATTTCTTGCCGTTATCACAATTGGACCTCGTCAGTACGACAATTGTGGTAACAAATAATTTAGTAAGGTGTATAAATTAATTAAGATAAAAAGATGTAAATCAGAAGCAATCAAAGCAATAGTAGGAAAAAAAGAAAATATATGAGGAAAAAGGGAAGCATAAGAAAATGCATATATGGGAAAAAGTGCTTATTTTGTAGGAGTGTTAGTCACTGGAGCATCTGGATACATAGGTATACATTGCGTGCAGCAGTTACTCGATCTTGGTTATACGGTGCGTGGAACTGTTCGCGATTTGAGTAGCAAGGTGAAAATCGAACCACTGAAGAAGTTGCATGGTGCCAAAGATCACCTGGAACTGGTTGTTGCCGATCTCGAAAAAGATGATGGATGGCCACAGTAGGCATTGTTTGTCGTTGATCACAACTGTGAATAGTTTAGCCGAAATACTTTGAGATTTTAAAAAGTTACTCGAAGCAGAGTTACTGCAGTTGGCCTTCTAGAAAAAAATCGTAAGGAAGTTCCTAGCAATGTCAGATGCAGGTGGATGGGCATTTTTTGCGCTGCAAAAGAATGTCCAGAATCAAACATTTGTGACAGAATATTTTGAATAATTACTCCAAGAAAAGCTAAGTCCGAAATTTTGACTAAGGAAATGCAGACCAGTGCTTCTTATTTGCTGGTATGGCAAAGGTTGATACTTCTCTTTTCATGCTTATTTATTTCCCCATTACTATTTATACTCATATCAACAAAGCAACTGACATACTGACGAGGTCTAGTTGTGGTGCTGAATAGTAATGTGTACGCCTTAATGGATCGAAAAATTCCTGTTCATCTAATCTTTTATTATATTTTTTATATTTCATTTTTATGGATCATGATATCATGATAATAATAGTAATAAAAAATTGTTATTATTAATGTTATTATTGTTATTATTGTTATTGTTATTATTATTGTTATTATTATTATTGTTATTGTTATTATTATTGTTATTATTACTGTTATTGTTATTATTACTACCACCACCATTATTATTATTTATTTATTTATTTATTATGTACATATATTTATCAGTATGTTTAATGAACTTGGCCCGCATTCGTCTTCATCGTTTAGTTCCAAGTTGTTAAGTTTTGCTGGCAATACATTTAAAACATTGCTTTACAATCTGCTGAAGAAAATTTTCAGAGCTCTAACCGATTGTACATATGTGCTACATGTAGCAAGTCCATTTCCGATCGTTGCCGATGACTCGATCATCAGCACAGCCGTTGATGGGACATTACGTGTGTTGCGCGCCGCTGCTAAAACTTCCGTGAAAAAAGTTGTCCTTACCAGCTCCTGTGCTGCTATCAATGGTTTGTGAAAGGATTTGATTAGCTGTTTGATTTATTAACATTCAAAATTTGTAGCAGCATGAAAATGACAGGTAGCGTTTCCCAAGAATCTGCGGTGTATATGGGAATTTTGCCGGACACCGGCCCCTAGTGGTCACTTGATTGGAATAATGGCAAATTCTGACCAAGAAGTTATCATCGGGGTCGTCTGGGCTTTTTTTGGTGCCCCCTCCGATATCACTGTAATTTTAATTTTAGATGATGTGTGTTTATGTAAAAAGTAAGGGTTTGAAAGTAAGAGAAATAAAGTTTGAAAGTAAGTAAGATCATTTTTTTCCCCAGTTTCACTCATTAAACAAACGGCCCATATTTTTCCGGACATTATGCCCCTAGGTGCACTGTTTTTTTTTTCAAATTTTATCTGGTTTGTCATATTGCTAATGGAAAATATCAACTGAGCATGCAAAATCCGTAATCCGACTCCTGAACCACATTAATTCTTTTGGCCAGCCAAATTTCTTGGGCTGTTTTATCAGTGTGGTTTTTTATATTGCTCGTCGCATGTTTTGCGGTTTTTTTCCTTTTTTTTTTGAGTTATTCATTGACATCACACTCTGTAAATTTTGCGCCACAACTGTCGCGCTGATGAAGTCCAATTGTGGTTCTGTGTCAGGAACGTTCACCACTCAAAATGGATCGAAACGTCTTACCTCGTCTTTTTTTTTTAGCTCCTTTAATTCCTTCAGCTCTCACAGCCCCCGTTTTTTCCCCGTCAAATTTCGTTTCGTTGTCAGTGCTCAGCATACTGATTAGCACATTTAGCAGATTGCAGAAGGCCATGCGGATACGAGCAAAGTGTTCAACGAAGATGACTGGACAGATGTCAGTTCAAATTCTGTACTAACATATTCAAAAAGTAAAACGCTTGCCGAGAAAGCTGCCTGGGAATTTGTGAAACAAGAAGGTACCATTTCATCAAAATTTTTTTTTTAAATTCTCTTCCCGAAAAGTGTGTGGTTACGTGTACGGTATGTAGCTTAATATATATTTATGGTACAGAAAGAGCGAAAAAATCCGAGAACATTGTTTTCAGGTACTAATTTCAAGCTAACAACAATCAATCCTACGCTAGTTGTTGGCCCTCTTCTGCACAATGTTCGTGGCACAAGTATTAATGTAAGTTTTGAGAAATTTGCCATTTTCCCGACACTGCTTGCTTTTTTCCAGTTTCTTTTTGCGCGTTTTGCGCTGTGCAGCAGCTGCATAAAACGCATATTGTCACGGGGTTGTCTGTGTACATGTGTTTGAGTGTGCCTGTGCGCGCGTGTGTATGTATACGTATGTATGTGTATGTGTGTGTGCGTGTGTGTATGTGTGTGTGTTCCCGATGCATATTGTTTAAAAGTAATTCCCAAATTCCTCTCCTTGGAGTTGGTTAAGGGAAAAATAGTGTCGGTTGATATCGCATATTACCTGGTAGACAGAAACAAACATTTGAAAAGTGTATTAGATGAGATTTGTCAAGATATAACTTGGGCGCAAGCGCGATTCATGCGCTACAAAATCAAAAAAGCTACTTTCCTCAAAAAAAAAAAAAAAAAAACTTGCGAAATATCTATTCGCCTAAGTCAAAATATAGCCGAATTGTATTGCTCATATTTCGTATGGCTACTTTTTGGACAAATTTCATGCGTTTTCTCAAAAACCGTGTGGCTTTTTATGCGTTTTGTGCAATGTAACAGCAGTACAAAACGCATGTGCCACGGGGTTGTTTGTGTGTGCGTGTGTCTGTCCGCAGCAACTTGTCCGCAACTTTCAACTCGGGAACCACAAAAGCTA